AAAAAATTGGGGGGGGGGGGGGGGGGAAGAAAAGACCCTGACTTGCATATGCAGTCTTCTTTCTTCTATACTCTGCTTGGAAACTTGGAAGCCTGATAGAAAATTATCTTCGCTCAGCTAGCCATCAGTTCTCTACTTCCCTATCAAGTCTCCATGTGGATGGTATGAATGGTGCGCATTGTGGCGTTGAAGGAGGTAGACTTCTTCAGAAAATCCTGATTTTATACCACTGGGTATTATTAGTACCTCCAAATACAGCTGCTTTTCATAAGCAACAAACACTGTAGCAGCAAGGGAGCTGCCAACATTCAGGACTAAAAAGGCAAAATACTCAAAGCCTGAAGGGTCTGTATCTTGCCTACATTTTCCTTAAAGCAGCAGAGAAACTGCAAATTCAAGCAATCCACTGAATTTGCTAAAGTGTTTTACATCAGCTTCCTAATAATTGAATGTTATCATTTGGGTTTGTGTGCAGGCGTAATAACAGTGGTGGTAGTTTTGGTTTTGTGTGTCAGAAATTTGTTTCTAAACTCTTCTAAGCTTTCTTTCCCTAGCCACTCAATTGTTTTATAATTTACCCAGAATTTGGTCACCTCTCCTTACCTCTGAACAAAGTTGAGTAACAGATGCTGTGCTGAAGTTTCATGTTACTAAAGTACTGTGCTCTTTCCTAGTGCACATTGTAATAATTACTATGTTAAATCACCTTGAGGAAATACAGGAGCATGATACTCTTTCTTACATGTTCTCCTTGGGTTTTCTTTTGTTTTCTCTGTGTTCTCAAAAAGTCAATATATAGGACCTATTTTCCCACTGAGTGTTATCTCAGTCTCATGAGTTTCAGTGTGGGTACTTGCAAGGCTGTGCTGTACAGCTCCAAACATGATATATAATTTTTGCCTTTTGGCGAAATCTTGCCACCTTTCCCTGTGTACAGCATCCTTAGTACTTCAATGTGTATTTAGCACAATGTTGAGAATGATTGATTATAATTCACCCAGTTCCTGGAAAACAAGTTGCACTGTCCACCGTATTTGCAAGATTTGCCCCTTACTTGCCAACCCCAATTGTTGGCTAGGGGCTTCTAGTTACTGGCATGAACTCACAAGGTACGCTTCAAGTCAGAGACAACTCTGTAAGTATCTGTAATGGTAGAAGAGGTGGCATGTTTTTTAAGGTGTCCCGTTTGTATCACAAGCAAAGACCCCTGGACAATTGGTGACTTTGGCTCCCAGGGAGCAAAGCCTGACCTCCTGTCAAGGGTTGTCGGTCCTGATTTCACTCTCTCTCCCTGGGTGGGACTCCATCCCTGGCTCCTGCGCGGTCTCACACAGATGTAGTCTGTGAAAATGACTCAGATTTGCTGCCAAGAATTGTAGATGCTACTTTCGGCCATCCACCTGAAGCAACACAATTAACACAGAATTGCAATAAAAAGAAGGGAAAAAAAAAAAAAAAAAAAGAAGTACCTTTTGTGATAATGTTTTATCTTTGGTGATACTTCCAGTTGCAGGGCTGGTGAGCCGCTGCATTTTTTAACAGCAATGGCACACATCTCAACCTATTAAGACATGACATTTTCATAATTTTTTTAAGTACTCTCTTATTAGGTTAGTACTTGATTTGTTTAGATTATGGGACTTTGTGCTTAAGTTCTGCATGCCATTTGCTAAAAGAACAGACCTATGCTTTTCTTTCTAAAACATTCTGTTGCATTAGTGGTATTTTTAATGTGTCAAAAGTAGGAGTACCTTTTATATCTTGGTAACTTTAAATGGTGAGTTGAGTGTCTTGTTTAAAACTAGGAAATAGTTTTAGTAAGGATCAAGGATATGCAACTTAAGGGAAAATTAATAGAATGTTGCTGTTATGACAGCTCGAAGCTGTGCATTCAACTCTCTGCAGATATATGTAGCGGAAATCAGAGGACTCTCACCGAAACTGATGAAAGGACCATCAGCCAGCAACCTATGTGCTTATTCAGCTTGGTAGACTAATGCACTTTCAGAATGTTTCTCTAATATGTTAACGTAACGTTTTCAGTTCTGTTAATTCTCAGGACTAGGAGCAACTTGGGAGTCTTTAATCAGCAATAAATCAACGGACACAATAGTTCATGGCTTATCTAGAGTGCTGATGTATTTCAGCTGGTAGTTATAATGCTTCTGCCCAGAAAGGGAAGATCCAGCACTCCTTCATCAGGCAAAGTTCCCATTCAAATTAATGAAAATACTCACATGAGCAAAGCAAACTGATCTATCTTGCTGGAGGGACTGGCAGGGCAAATGTGGTTTTTAGTAAGACTTACACTTTTATGTTTTTCTGAGGAATATTATTTATTTTCTGTTCTTATTCCCTTTACTGCCTTGGATCAGCAAAGAATGAGGAGCACTGACGTGCTAAATGGGTGAGATTTCACTGTCTTCACTGTTCTTCACTGTCATTCCTGTTTTCCCCTTTGCAAACTGTTAATGTTTTCCGAATTTCACAAGGAATCAGAATATATCTATAGCATTTGCACAAGGGAAAAATATGCTCAGAAATAGGACTGTACAGTGCATGTTAGACTAGGTTACTTTTGCGGGGGTCAGTACTATATACTGTCTGCCATCAATTTCCTTTCAAAACTTGATTTAGAAAAATGGCTTCTAGAACATCTAACACCTCAGTAGGGTAGCCTCTCTGGGAAACCGTTCTGGATATGTCATCTCTAAATAAGTACAATACAGTGAATAGAGTCATAAATGAAAAAGGCCAGATTAACAATGATGGTGGATTAATTTTTCTGCATGTTAGCTATAGCTTCCACTGTGTTAGGACAAGCTGTCCCACCTGAGTGCTCTCACTCAATTAATAGAGATGCAACTTGAAAGGGAAAATCCCATGTATCGTAGCTGTGATTGAAAGGCATAGCCATTCCATAGATTCCTGGATGATGGCTCTGTAGCCTCTTTAATTCACTTCAGCATATTTTTGATTTCTTGTCTCAGGGTTATGGTCCTTGCTCTCCTCTGAGGCTTATCCCCTCCATCAGTGCTGGGGTCTGCAATCCTTCACACTCAAACACTTTTAATGATCTGGTAGGCTGAGACCTACCAAACTTTATTTCCAGCTGTTTTCCTTCTTTAATCTGTGGGCGCTATTATCTTCTGACCTTTCTGAGTCCTGGCCACAAGCTATTGTTTCGGCTCTTTCCCCAGCAAGTTGTGTGTCTCGTTCCCTTTGCTGCTGCGTAGCTGGTTGGGTTTGCGCTTCCCACTGGGACTGTCCCTCCCACTTCCCCCACATGCACGACGGGAGCAGCAGCAATGAAGGGAAGAACTGGGATGGCCAAGAGAGGGGACTGGCACAACTGTGGGCCTGAATCAGAGATAATGAGGCCTGGAAAAGCGAGAGAGGAGTGAAAAGCTGGGACAAGTTTTAACAGTGCAGAGGCACAACACTCAGATACCAGATAAGCCTTTGTATTCCAAATGTACTTGGTTTAATTTTTAAAATGTTTTGGGGTTTGGTGTGTTTTTTTTTTTTTAAACTCTATCACAGCTTGAGCTAAGAGGCTTGAGGCCACAGAAGCCAAACCAAAAGGCATTAATCCAAATGGCTAAGCTGACGCTGATCTCATACCTATCAGCGCATAGACATACATGTGTTTCCTGAACAGGACGTAGTTACCCACAAGGACTTGCTAGAAAATGCTTGGATGATGCTTTGTAGCAAGTAAAACAGCATGAGATGTAGTAATTGACTGCAGTGCCCTGAGAATGTTACAATAAAATGTACCAAAGACACCAAAAATGTAACCACAATATCTTGAATAGCTAGCAACCAAAACAGTATAAATTATTTCTCCATAGGATTAAAAATAAATTAATTACAATACCTAGAAATTACATCCAGCAACAGCTGCTTTTTTTTTTTCCTTAAATAAAAAAATAAATACAGAATTGCTAAATCCGCAGAGGTCACCAGAGAACGTATTCTTTGCTCTTGCTGTTTGCTGTTAGGAATCTGGGAGACATACTGGTTTACTGGCAGCAGTCTTGCTAAATAGCCGAGTGGCTTGTCTCTTGATTGCAAAAATGGGATGCAGAGTATTATCTCCTTCCTGGGTCATGCTTGGTGTCCCCTTCAATTTGTTATTATTATTTGACTTCTTAATATAGAGCAAAAGCTTCTATAAAGTGGCTTTACTACAACTATTTCCTATTAACATTGCAATAATGCCTATAAAACTTCCTGGACTCTGCTGTGCTATTGGGTGTGCAAATACTTAAGAAGAG